ATCAGAAGGGAGTTGAAAACAACAGGAGGATTTTGATGCATCACAGTTCGCAATTGGATCACAGTGAAAGACGACACCCATCTTGTTTGAGACATGTAGGGGCCATTACAAAAGCTGTAGTCAAAACATCCCAAATGACCATGGCTAATCAGGTGACTGTACATACTGTACTTTGCATTATGTAAAGGCGTTTATAGACTCCCAGGCATTTACATTTTCACTGAACAGGGCAGAAAATGTTAAGAGATTGCTGGACAGACCGCACATTCATTTCACGGTGGAGGGAGTGAATGTTGCTTCTCACATGACGACATGTCAGGACCACATTTGTGCAGATGTGACAAATCAGGAAATGAGAGTACATGACAACGTCTTTAAGGAACCTGTAGATGGAGCTGACATGACATTGTTTACTGACAGACACTCTCATAAGACTGAAGGGGGTGCGCTGATTGCCTCTTTTGCTGTGGTGTCAGAATGTCAAGGAAAGTTTGTTGTGTTGAGGTCAGAGGTCATTAAACAACCAGCATCAGCTCAATTAACTGAATTAAAAGCTCTGACTGAGGCTTGTAATTTATCAGCAGGAAAAACAGTTAACATTTACACAGATTCAGACTACGTGCATCGCTGTGTCCATATTGATTTGAGTCATTGGATGAGAAAAGGGTTTATGACTGCTTCGGGACAGCCATTGAGTCACCTGCAACAAATATTGGAGTTATACTATGCATTGAGACAACCACGAGCAGTGTCAGTTTTGAAATGTAGGGCTCACCAGAAAAAGTGTGATGTGGTGGCCAAAGGGAATTTTCAGGCTGACAGAGCAGCAAAAGTGTGTGCTGGTTATGAGAAAAAAGTCAGATGGTTCAGGTGGAAGGAGGCGGTGTTGCTGGGAGTTCTGAAGAGAACATTTTGCAGAAAAAAATTGATGTTCAGACTATATTGGAGTTGCAAAATAATGCTGCCTTTTCAGAGAAACAACTGTGGCAGGACAGAGGAGCCAGACGGAATGCTGAGGGGATCTACAGAAACCATGAGGGAAAGGTTGTGGCTCCTGAAACTCTGGTGAACCTGTTGTGTCAGGAGGCTCACAGTAGGGGGCATAGTTCCGGTGCTAAGATGCTTGACATGATCACTCAGGTTTGGTGTCATCCTAATATCAGAGCAATTTCTAAGTATTTTGTTCAGATGTGTGAAATCTGTTCCAGACACAATCCGAAGGGGGTGCTGAAGGTTGTCTTGGTGCATTCCCGGTTCCTGCGGCCCCGTGGAAGGAGGTGTGTATTGATTTCACAGACATGGGAGCTGGCAACAGGGTTCAGGGTAAGAGATTTATGCTCGTTTCTGTCGACACATTTAGTGGTTGGATTGAAGCGGTGCCGACTCGCACGGAGAAAGCGTCTGAGGTGGTAAAGTGGTTGCCTCGTGAGGTCATTCCAAGGTTTGGTGTACCTGTGGTCATAAGATCTGATAATGCTAGGCATTTTTCAAATAAGGAACTGCAGAAAGTGGAGGAGATATTTGGGATCAAGCATCAGTTTGGGACAGTTTTCCATCCGATGTCCCAGGTCAAGGTTGAGTGAACAAACAGGACGCTGAAGGAAAGTTTAGCTAAGGTGTGTGCAGACACAAAGTTGAACTGGGTGGAAGCTTTGCCCCTTGTTTTATTTAATATTAGGTGCAGTCCAGGGGGGAACTGAATGTGAGTCTGCATGAGCTGTTAACAGGGAGAAAAATGCAGTGTCCGCTGACGACTATGCCTTCAGAATGTAACACTGTACAAATGCAGCATGATGTGATGTCAGAATACATGATGAGGTTGAGAAATACTGTCATGAGTCTGTCCCAACAGGTGGTGGGTGTATTGACACGAGACGACGGAGATCCCTGTGAGGTCGTCAATCCAGGGGTTTGGGTGCTGAGGAAGTTGGCACGTTTTGACTGGCATCAGCCAAGGTGGCACGGACCATTTCAAGTTGTGGAGACAACATCTCACTGTGTGAAGGTGTGGTTGTCTGAGACAAAGTTTAGTAATTGGATTCATAAGACACACTGCTGCAAATCTGTTGCTTTTACAGAAAAAACCTCAGAAACACATTGAAAAACAGTTGGGTGAACTGAATGGTCCTTTTGAAAAGGGAGACAAAGCTGCTGAATCTGAGTATCAACCTCCATATAATTTAAGGAGTAAGAAATGTTAAAAAAAGAAATTTTGTTAAAAAAACTGAAGCCATCATATGAGATTGATAATGGCTTCCGGGGGGAAATGTCTGTTTTTATTTTATTTGTTTATTTGTTGTTTTGAATTAACATGGGATGCAAAACACAGAAAATAATGATGAAAAGCACACTAACCTGACGACTAACCTGACTGGCCTAATGAATTGCATGGGGTAGGAACTGAATTTTGCACATTGTCCTAATTTAGAGAAATACGAACATCTGATCACTTATTGTTTGGGTTTGGTTGAATTTTGCATAATGCTTGCCAGTGGTTGTGGCCATCAGGGAGGTTTGTGATATTTTTGGTTAGCTGGTCCACTGCATTTTTTGAAATGCCCAGTCACTTATCACTAAAAAAGAGGCCTCAGAGGAAAATGAGAAAATAACCATGGTTAAACGTGTTGATAACAAAGTACTGTTTGCATATTCTTTAATCTAAAACTAAATACGATGACCGTGAGTCTGCAGAGACACCACCGCGTATCTACAGTCTCACATGGCGGATCTTTTTAGTTTAAATACACATTGTGGGGTATTTCAGATCTGACCTTATTTGCCCCCATGTTGTTGCAAAACAGTCTAAAACACTCTGGAAAGGTGGGGGACCTACTCTCCTAGCTGCGTCGCACTGTACGTGTTTCGTACATCAGTTTATCTCACAACACTTCATATTGTCACATCTTCGCCACTGTTTCAATTTTGCCTCAGCCATTTCAGGTTTTTATCTCACGACGAGACTTATCTGAGTGCCTAGTGGGGAACTGTTTCAGCACCAAGACCTGGTTTCATTCATGCTCGCTGGTTCTCAACTGGAGCCACAGAAGGGTGTGGGGGGCCAGCTCGTGGGTATCTGAGGGAAGGGGGTGCATGTGTGTACGTGTGTGGGGTGATGATGTCATCAGTTCTTCCTGGCGGGGTTTTAAGTTACTTGCATAGATACATAAAAGGGAATACTGCGTACCTGTTTTCACGGGCAGTTTCCTGGGAGCCAGTCGACTGTATTACATTGCTAAATGAATGAGCTTTTCCTAAAAGCAGCAGAGAGAGTGCAATCTGTTTACGAAATATGGTTTCCCCCTGGCTTTTGTTCAGAGGACAAGGGCGTTATTATTTATAAATGAGGATAAGACGGAGAACTGATGTGTTTGAGTTATGTTGTTTTCAAAAACTAAAATGATATGAATTAATCATCAGTTTCACACACGACCTGTCTGTCTGAAAGAGTGTTTTTGAAATTTTTTTCTAATTTTTGTCTTTTCTCTCTGTGTTTTGTGTGAGTTTTTTTTCCCGCAGGGAAAATGCTGTTTCTCATCGGGGGGGTTGCTCCATTTCCACCTGGACYGACTGGGAGCTGTGCGCCACCTCGTGCTAGCCTTTCCAACTGGCGTTTCCTGGGGTTCCTTTTGAGGGGAGACCCATCAATCCCGCATCTTCATGCTCCACCTTTGAGCAGGCCGTGTTTTGCGGCTGCTCTCTTTCTGGGCGAGGTTTCTAAAACGCTACAACTTTGGCCCTTTCTGTTCTGGTGTGGTTTCTGATCACACACCCCCTGCCTTATTGACATAAAGAGAACAGAACTRTTTTTACACCCAAAGCTGCATTAGCTGGGTTTGAGTGCTTTTCACCACACTGTTTGCATTTTTCCCGCCTCCATGAAAATATTATTTGCCCCATCTGAAATACTGGACTAACCTTGTGCATTTCTGACCGGCTTATTGTTGTGCATTTTTACATGCTTCACCAGTTTGACTGCAATGCATTTGTGTCTGTGCAATGTTTGAGATTTCCTGTGTTTTTTTCCTCTCAGGGACTGGATGACGCTCTGGGTAGCTGGGTTGGTATTTGGCTCCCCCTCCTGGGAAAAAACATAATTTTTAAACATTTAGACTTCTCTGGATGGTTTGGGGTTGTGTTTTTTAATTTTATGTTTTGTTATGTTTGTTTATTTTATGTTTTCTAGTGTTTTGTCCTTCTGTGCAGCTTCCTGGTAAAGTTTAGGTGATTGTCAGCTGCGTCTCGGTGAGACTTTCCAATGACATACATATTTTTTTGATTATTTGTTCCTTTATGCGTTTGTGGTAAGCCGGGGAGGGGGTATTCTGCTACCTTGAGCCTGGTACCCACGAAGACGTTGTTGAGGCTTAGCAGTAACTTTGAGAACAATAGGTCAGAATAGGGGTCACGAAAACATCTTGTGTAATATCCTGGAAAAGTTGACATCATAAGGGGNTAAATGTGGTTAAATTTTTAATCTATGCCCAGTACTAGGTTTTATACAGTATGTATGACTATTTGCCAACCCCTAATTTATTTTAACCAAAAGTAAAGGGCTCACATTTGCAAATGTGAAAAGGGGGGAATAAAAATCATTTTAGAGGGAGGTTTTATTACTATTATTATACCAATTCCCGTATAACAATATGTGATATCTAAACTGCATTGATTTGATTGGCAAATCTGACATAAAAGTCTTTTATAATTTCGGAACTTTTATGTTACAAAGACAGAGATGGCATTGTATAAATTAAATAGATGTCATTTAGAATATGACAAAAATAAATGCTTAAATGATGTTATATCATGTCACAGTCAGTACAGAAACTGGGGTCTATCCCCATTTTAATTTAACAAAAGCTTCTTTGTGTTATTGTCATTTCATATGTAAACCTCTCCTTTAACATTTTAGATTAATTCATATTTGTTTTCAACAGTCTTTATATGTATTTAAAATGTTATTTGATATTGTCAAATTTATGGTAATGTTGTTTTCTTTTCAGTTGCTGGAAGACCTCTTCACTTAAATTCAACTGATTGGTATGTAGACTATGCATTGTAAAATGAAATATCATGTTGTATTAAATCAAGCTAGAAGATTTAAAATTAAGGTAGCAAAAAATTACCAAGTTGACTCTACTTAATCTGACCTATTTGTTTTTGTAATAACATAGTAGAAATGAMTAGCTTATTATTTGTAGGATTCTTTTATCTATAATTTAAACATCAAATGCTTCTAAATGCCCATGCTCTTATATTTGTCATGAAAAAGTATTTAGATTTTTAAATATTTATTTTTAATCATTTTAGGACCCGGCAAATGGGATGGCAGTGTAAGATATGCAAAAATTGTTCTACTACAAAGGGGAATCTACTACGCCATTACCGATTACAACACGCAACTTTTGGTCGTGGACATCTACAGCCATGTCTGTATGACAGTTGCCCTTGCACATTTAAAACACAAGGAGCCCTTCGCACACATTTGTCCAGATACCATGCAGCTGAAGAGAGTCCAAGGCCAGGATTGATTACTACATTTAAGTGCTTGGTTTGCACTGCTTCTTGCTCTTCTCAGAAGGACTATTTTCAGCATATTGGAAATCACTTGAAGAGACACGAAACTGTATTTTGTGTTTTCAATGAATGTGACTTTCGCACCAACATATACAATACATTTCTAAAGCACAAAAGCAGGAGACATCAATCTTTTTCTTTAACTGATTTTAAGAAAGAAGTCTTGGAAAGTCATCCTAGTCACACTGATGACCATTCTGATGTCCCAGAAGTCCACAATGATGAATGTGATTTTGATCCAGAAAGTACATCTTGTACTGTTCTTCAAGAACTTGGCTTACTTCTACTTAAGTTAGAAAGCACTGACAATGCCTCAGTGAGTTCCATTGATGCTTTGGTTGAAGACCTTTTCTATATCTCTTCTTCTGCATCTGTGAGAGCGGTTAAAATTTTAATTGATTCAGCACTGAAATCTAACAAATGCACTGTTGACCAGACTGTCATAAAGGACTTGGCTGAACAGTTGTGTAGCTCTCATCCCATTAGCAGAGCTCTTGGAGCAGGTGGGCCACTTGGTTCAGCTTTTAAGAGAAGAAAGTATTTTAAGGAGAATTTCCAGTTTGTTGATCCTGTTGAATATATTCTGGATGCTGAACAAAACAAAAGCTTTCAATATGTGCCAGTTCTCAAGACTTTGCAAGAAGTATTGAGAAACAAAGATACTGCAGTGGAAGCCTTGTCACGGTCTTCAAGTAGTACTGGGCATTTTACTTCCATTTTTGATGGTACATGTTTTAAGGAAAATGACTTTTATGCTGGAGAAGAAAAAAGACTCTCTATAATCCTTTATGTAGATGATTTTGAGGTGTGTAATCCATTAGGAACCTCTCGAAAAAAACATAAAATAACTGCATTTTATTGGGTTTTGGCCAATTTGCCATTGAGGTTACAGTCTGCATTGACATCAATACACCTGGCTTTACTTTGCAAAGCTACAGATGTGAAACAGTTTGAATACAAAACAGTTTTAGATCCACTTTTGAAAGATGTTGTCACTCTTGAACAGGAGGGGGTTTTTATTTCATGTTTAGGGAAAAATATTAAAGGCACCCTGCACTGTGTTGTAGCCGATAATCTTGGTGCTCATGCAATTAGTGGACTAGTTGAAAGTTTTAATGGGCCATACATTTGTAGATTTTGCCTTGGACTTTCTTCAGAGTACCAGACACATGAAGTGAGGTCTGGTGTGTTTCCACTTCGAGTAAAGGCTGACTATGCTTTACATGTACAAAGTGTCAGAGAAGATCCAAATGCAGCACCTCACTTTGGCATAAAGCGGTCTTGTCCATTAACTGATCAGTTGAATCATTTTCACTTTGTCTCTGGATACCCACCCGATATCCTTCATGACCTTTTTGAGGGAATAGTACCAAGGGAATTGGCATTGTGTTTTCAAGATTTCTTGAAGAAGAAGTACTTCACTTTGACTGTACTGAATAATATAATCACAGGTTTTCCATATAAGGGCTCCGACAAATCTAACAGTCCACAAGCAATCCCTCCAAATTTTGCTGGTCGCAAAACTATAGGAGGAAATGCTCACGAAAACTGGGCTCTAATACGCTTGTTGCCTCTCATTGTTGGTTCACGTGTGCCTGAAGGTGATCCTGTTTGGCACCTTCTCCTAACTTTGAAGGACATTGTTGAACTAGTGGTTGCCCCTGTTCACACAGCACGAAGTATTGCCTACCTGGAATCTTTAATATCTGAACATCGTGTCAGATATTTGGAACTTTTTCCTGACGTAAGGCTCACACCAAAACATCACTTTTTGGAGCACTACCCTGCATTAATACTAAAATATGGGCCTTTGGTTGGTGTATGGACCATGCGCTTTGAGGCGAAACACAGGTTTTTTAAGCAAGTTGTGAGACACACTAACAATTTCAAAAATGTGTTGCTGACCCTTTCTACAAGACATCAAATGATGATGGCATACCACATGCAATCAAAAGAGGTGAAACCTGCCATGCTTGTCACAAAAATATCCAAAATGCCTGTAGATATGTTACACCCAGACATACAGGAAGATTTAAGGGCAAGGTCACCATCTCTATCTTGTGTGCAGCTTGCCAACACTGTCACCTATAGTGGAACAAGATACACTGCTGGGATGATCCTGTCTTCTGGTTCAACATGTGGACTACCAGACTTTGCTGAGATAAAACAGATAGTCATTTTGGACAATTGTGTGTATTTTATAGTAAAGTTACTTGCTGCCTGGTATGAAGAGCATCTTAGGTCTTTTCAACTGGAGGACACCGGCAAAATCACTCTTTTGGAGCAGCAAAAACTTGGTGATGTGTGTCCCTTGACTTCATACAACGTGGGGGGAAAACGCTTGGTAACCCTAAAACGTTACATCRTCTGTGAATGTTAGGTAAAGCAACTTGATAACATATACATCTCCAAGTATTTATTTTTGCAACCGTTGTTAAATTGAAATCTGCTTTTCTTTTTATAGTGTGATCTTAAGGAGGACCAAAACTGACATAATTAGAAATAAAATCAGAAATATATGACAGGACCAATAAATAAATACACTTAAAATGCACNGAGATAAAGTTCTCTAATTGGTGCATTTAAGTGTATTTATTTAATAGTTCATTTATATAATTCTGCTTTTATTTCTAATTATGTCAGTTTTGGTCCTCCATACTGCAGATGTATTCATTCAAATCAGGTGTGTTGGAGCAGAGAAACAAGTAAAACATGCAGGGCTGCGGCCCTCCAGGACCAGGATTGCCCACCCCTGTTCTACATCATTAATGTTGGCTTAAAGTAAACATGGCCTACAGTTAACTCTGATAATTATCTGTATTTAAAAGATTCAAACAAACTTGGTCTGCTTTCAACGATTAAAGACATGAGGGAGATTGAAATATTTTCACAGAACTGTTCTTGTGTGTATTCGTGTGTATTAGTGTGTTATTGTGTGAACAAAGTAGGATCCCAGCTGTTTTGACATGATGTACATAAATAAATATATTCATATAGTGAAGAATGACTTTGTCCATTTGAACTGATTCCAGCATGATTAGCAGCACCTGTGTGTCATCTTTCAGTAACACTTGTAGAAAGTGTTTGGTAACACTCTGTCTCACAACTACTCTACCTTCCACACTGGAGAGTTGAATGAAAAAATTGCCACAAATGAAWAGTTTARAGATGAAAAGGTCAGACATGCTGTGAACTAATAATTGTTTAAATGACTACAGTTTTTATTTATGCTTATTTTGTCTTCCAAAGTTCAGAAGAAATTATTTCCAAATGACAGTGAGCTTGTAAAACACCTAATCGTATTAAACAACATTGTGTTACAGGAATGAGGATGATGAAGGGGACTCTGAAGACGAGGCTTGCCCCCTCAGCTCTCTCCCCACCCTGGTCCAAACTTGTGCCGTCACCTCTGCACCAAGTCTTCTTGTCAGTGAAGACCTGGACAAGTGAGAGGCAGAACTCAGCAGCACTGCTCATCCAAGACTCAAAGGTAAGAAGCACAAACGAGCTTTATTACCAGTTTATAAAMTASAATCATGTCATGTTATATGTGACCCATCACACTGAACACAGGATTAAATCCCAAAGTGGTACGTGGAGAAAAAAGCAGCCACTATGGTGCTTTTGTTCAAACGTTTGCACCAATTGCATCTTATAAACAAATGTATTTAATAAATACCTTATCTATGGGTGGTTTAATTGAAACATTTGAAATATAATCTTAAGGTATTTATTGAGTAGTATCTAAAAAAAAACATGATTTGAGCAGACACGCCTTCAATTTTTGTTATTTTCTCAGCGAGCTGGCAAAGTTTATTTATTTATGTATTTATTTATTTTTTCCATCTGGTAAATCATAATATCTAACATGAAAAAATTATTAGACTAAATATAAATGGGCTATCCTGATTAGGAAGACAAATGTCTGGAACCGCTCGTGATGATCCAGGTATGAAAATGTATTTTAAAATGCAGGAATCTGAAAATGTGCTGAGGTCATTTTGACCAAACTGGACTCATAATCCTCCTTCTGATGTGACTGGTCACATATTGTGTTCAGAAGCCTGTGAGGATGAAGGCTGAGATTAATGAGCATTACCAGTTTCATGAATGATATTTTACAGCTAAATGTTTTGATTTGATGCTCTGTAAACATGCTAAATTAATAATCTGACTCTAACATTACCATGATAATTGTTGAAGTGACATGTTTTCCTTTCGTGCTGTCTTTTAATGTCATTCTAATTCTTTCAATATCAAAACAATAACCAAAGTACGTCTACAAACAAGGTTGGTGAAAGAGCACTGTCCGACTACACGGGGCACATAAAACACAAACTCGGGCAGGTCCATGTG